GGGGGTGCAGCAACAACCCCAGCTCTCAGAAGGCGGTGAAAAGCCTGGCAGTGGCAGCAAACTGTCTAATCCCATTGTCTGCCACTTCCAAATACAGACCAGGGAGCTCAGCTAACCCTGGTACAACTCGTACAGTTCCACCAAAACACGAGTATTTTAGCAGTTCTTTATAACAATTCAACTTTCTAACCTTAAAATATCCCTTATTCACTTTTGCCTTTAGTACATCTCTTCCCTATCTCCCATCCCTACGGTGTCAAGGCAGAGCCAGGCTGCAAGACTGAGGCCAAACTGCCAGCAGGAAGCTGAACAAGCAGCCTATACATCTGCACTTATTCAACAGAAAACCAAAACCAGATCCACCAAAAAAAGCCCCCAAATTAGAACATATTGCCTTTTTTTTTTTTTTAATCAGATGTTCCTGTATGGCTGAGAAGAGTAACATACATCTTCATTTTTTAATCTCAAAAAACTGCTCTCATGCTATAACAAAAAAGTCAATGTCACTGTTCAGCCTTCTCTCAAGGTATCAGTGTAAGGCCTTTGGGTGTCACTGGCTCAGTTGGCCAAGTCAGGAATATAGAGACAAGTCACGTGACATCAGAAATACCCCTAATTTTCCTAACTGATGAACTTCTGATATTTGCCCTGAACACTAAGGGTTCAAGTCTCTTACTTTCGTCTAAGAAGCATTAAACACAATCCAATAAGGATTTGATACTGTAAGGACTTTTCTATCAGTTCATATTACAAGACTAAATTTAAACAGGCTCAAAGTGCTAAGGAAAAAGTTATATAAATATAGATGGAATTTAACTGTTCTTATCTCCCTGCCAATAGGGAATTAGCAATGTCTGCAGGAAACAGCTGATGTCTCCACTATAGATGTTCTGCTTGAGGGTTTCAAGTTTCTTAAGTCTATTCATCTGTTCCACTGAATTTGTTCTGAGCCAGTGTTATTAAAATATTCTTAAATTTCAACAATGCAGCAAGAGTCTGGCTACTTAAAAGTGGTTACAACCATCTCAGGGTAAGTCTTCCCCACACTAATGAAGAAAATCCTAACGATAAGTCATGTACTTTGCCAACCCAAGTGGCTTATCCAGATATGTTTCTCAGGTAATTAAAACTTTTAGTTCCTTAACCACATACTTGGTGAAGGACTAAAATAAAGTGATAGGAACTGATCCCTAATGCAAGCATCAAAATGCCACTTCACAATGGTGCTCACGACTTGTTTGCTGAACAAGAGGTACAAACTAACACTTTGCATGTAAAGAAACAATGTCTGTCCCCTTACAAAGACTTTAAAAAAATCAGTCATCAAAAACATCCTGTCATACATTAACTTTTTTATTTAGTAAGACAGAAGACATCACAGAAGGATTTATAAACCTCATCAAAAATGCAACACAACGAAGCAAAATTTTAAAAATTGCTATTTTTAGGCATCCAAGAGAACAACAGACACTGCATAATTTAATAAATACACTGATTCTGTTAAATCATAGAAGCAAGGTTATTAGGACATGGAAAAAGGGGAGAGGGAGGATATATGCTGCAATGAGATCCCAAAGCAAATCATGTCTTTGTTCGACCTCTTTCTACCACTCATCTTAGCCAAAACACTGCATTGATATGAGTGGAGAAAGCTGTCAAATTGCTCTGGGATGAGCATTGTAAAAGTTAAGGGCATGAGAGTTTGACAGCACTTCATTCACCATGGAGGCATTTTGTCTTGGGGTTTTTTTAACTGAACTTTTCCTGGCATTTTGGATGCTTGAAGCACACCCCAAACCAAGCCTCTTACTTCCACTTATCCAGAACTGCATTCTTTGGCACTTAACAGACAGGTCAGAAGGCACCCTCAGCCTCCCCATACCTCATCCCATGGCCTGTACCTCCTGGTAACTGTAAGGTTTTCTTTTGGCACAACAAAGTTCTGGTCAAGGCTTTTTTTATGTGTGTACCCAACTGCAATACATGTTTTATCTCTTCCAGGAGCAGCGCTAAAATAAGTCTCAAAAATTGGGTTCTGGAGCATGTGCAGCTCAATGCACTGATGCCTGAAGAGAACCACGTAGCATCTACACTTCAGATGTCCCTAAGGAGCACTCATATTCCAAGTATTGGAACACATCACGTTTCTTTTTATATGCATACATATATATTTTAGAAGTCCCTCAGGGACACAGGAACACCACAGAAAAGTAATTTTTCCCCTTTTTTTCTTACCTTATATTCTTCAATCTCTTCTTCATCTGCTTCTCCCTCATCTGGATATTTACGTTTTGCATTTGGTGCAGAAGTATCATAAGCAGCCCTGTGAACAGCCCAAAAAAAAAGTCCTCCTATTTCCAAAAATCTTTGATAATCTGCCTTGACTACATGTTTCTGTTACAAGTTTGAAATTACTTTGAAATTTGATGACAAGCTGTTCCTCTCTCAGTATGCTTGAGACCAGCACAACTTAGTAAGGACAGAACTCTTGAAAAGAAAGGAATTTCCTTCCCTTTCTCATTTTTCTGTTCTGAAAGCTACACTTTATTTTAACCAAAGCAGTCTACATCTACAAAATTAAGTCTGCTCACACAAGAAAATTACTGTTACACCTGAGAAACTACTAGCATTAGCTAGTCTGTCTAGATACGTCGATTATTCCAAAAGAACTTTTAAACTGCTCTTAGCAAAAGCATAAAGGTTCTGAGACAACGCAGGTGGCACATTCTGAATTCACACTTCAGTTTTCCTATGCAGCATCTTTTTAACACAAGAGGCTGTTTTTAGAAGGGAGTAACCAGACCCCATTGGCCTTAGCCAAAGTTCTGATTTGGGTAATGAAAGCACTTTCTTTCCCCGCGTGCAATCCCATCCCGTTTCCAGGGCCTGTGAGAGTCCCAAGCCCCCAGTCTCGAACAGAGCCCGCTGGCCGATACGGACCGACATGTCTCCCGGGTCTCGGCGATCTCCCGCTGCTCCTCCTTGCTGTTGAGCACGGCGCCGATGCTGTCGGCGTTCTCGGCCCCTAGCTGGACAGCGGCAAACACAAATTCACGCCGTGCTCACTGCAGACCCGCTCCCACACATCCCCAGGGCCGCCCCAGGCCCCTCGCCCCTCTAGCGCCCCAGGCCGCGGTAGCGGCGGGCAGCGGCCGCTGAGGGGGGGAAAGGGCGGACCTGGCCGTACCTGCTGTGCCAGGAGCTGCCGGCGGAGCTTCTGCCGCTCCCGGATCTCCTGCAGGCGGCTGTTCATGGCCGCAACCGGCCCCGCTCCGCCACAGCCACCGCCACTCTCCGCTCCGCCGGGCTCCCGCCGCTCAGGCGTCACTTCCCTCACAACGCGTCACTTCCCGCTCGCCGCAATTCCCTCGTGGAAATCGATGGGCAGGCTTCCCTGGAGTCACCGAGGGGAGTCGTGTGATTTGGGCGTTGTTCGAGTACAGATATGAAATCCATCTTCCATCAAGCTCTGCGGTCCAAGTTCCCTCCCTCAGGCAGACACGCGGCTGTGCAGGGCTCCCCTCAGGCTGTGTCACAGCTGTGGCCACTTCAGCAATTAACTGGGCTTGGGAGCCCTAACTTGGTTTTACCCCCACTGGTTTTTCTAAGTACATCCTTTACATCCAATTTCAATATCCAGTGTGGTTATTTCTAGGTTAATCTTCATGTTTTGCTTCCAACTTCTGATCCTTTAAAAACTTCTGCTTCGAGGGAGTTTTGCAGAATCTTTAAAGTCTTTTTCATCTGAATTTTGATCTCTTTCCCACTTCCTCCTTTCATCCCTATTGTACATCCTGTCTGTCTGTGAGTGTATGTAATCCACACTGCATGCTGCTTATCATTTTGACAACTATTCAGAATGGAACAAGAATGAAAATGGAAACACAGACCTGCTGTCTGCATTCAAAAGTTGTGCAGTATCAATCCCTTGTGTCTCACAAAAAGACACTTAACAAAAGAATAAACAATACAAATTATCCCCACAACTATAATTAATGCTCATATTTGTTCTCCTGAAATAGACTGATTCTTCCTGTAATTGCCTGTAATTGTCACACCCAAAGATGTGGACAAGAGCTAAGAAGGGACATTCAGCTCTCACAGAGTGTGGTGTTCCTCTGCTGGTATCTGAGTGTCAGACACTGTCACACTTTTGTGATACAAGCCATTATTCTCCTATTTTTTAATGTGGTATATGTTGTATACATGTCAATCATGTTATGCATGTCAAACTGAGAAAGATGCAGGAAGAGAAGGAAATGAGAGAAGTGCAGACTAATGCAGAAAGAAACCTTTTCCAGCTACTCACATTTCTCAGTGATAGAACATCCTACAAAAACGGTGGAGCTTTTAAATGGTAAAACCCCAGAATACCAAGAGGTGTTTTTTAATCTCCTCAGGGAATACATTACTAGTTATACTACCCTATCTGTGGAAATGTTATGGGAAAAGAAATGTTATCTCATACTACTGCACTGCTTTGATATTGTTGGCTGTAATGAATACAGTAGAAGTCCCTGCGCAGTAACAAAATCACTTCCTCCTGGATGTGACACGATGAAGTTTGTGGGAGCCTGCACTCCATTTTTAGAACTGGCTGCTAACATGAGCTGATCTTTACAAATATTAATGGCTATGAAAGATGTTCCACTGTATCCACACACTGTTTCAAAACAAGAAGGTTGTATATTTTCAGAATGCTCCAGGCCTTTCTTTTTCTCTGTGCATGCTGTGGTTTTGGCTCTCCCAGCCTTGCACCCAGTCTGTGGTCAGTTGTTTCTTCTGTTAAGACAAATATCAGGCCAAACTCTTGCCAGCCTGGAGTCAAGAGCTACACATGCACATGCACAGCACCATAATTCAATCTATATTTGAGTCTGATCACTGATATTGGTGTTTTGATTGCATCACAGTCTTCGGTGGAATCATCAAAAAAGCATGGAATCCAGCCTCTATCCGGATGGCATCCATGACATGGTGTCAAACCTACAAATATGCAGTGCTGGAGCTGCATCAGCCTCCCTGGGCAATCCATACTGGAGCATTGTGGTTCTTACATTCAGATTTTTTTTCCTTCTCCCCACTCGAAATACTCCTTGCTGGAATTTACAACCTTGATTCCATATGGACAGCAAGAGAAATGCATTTCATACTGTCTGCCATGAGTGTGCAGAAGTTATTTGCTCCTCCTCTGCAACAGTCCCCAGTGCCTGGGAAGACTCATCACATTTCTTTTCACCCTGCTGTGTTTCACACTTCTGATCCTTCTGCCTCCTGGAATCACCAAGTCAGCTCTTTCGTGAATGCCTTTTCCCCAAACGAGGATTCAGCTGGACCATGAAATACAGACACGATGTAGGATGTGCTGCAGGTGACTGACCTGCTCAGGCATCTCAGTGCAGTTGTCCTGGTTCTTTGGTGACTAATGACTGTGTTGAATTGCCACCACTCCTGATCCATTATCCAGATTTTTCCCTTCAAATTTATGAAGCCAGTTGTTTTTATTTAACTGAGTATCCCTGAGGACATTATTTTTCACTTCTCTTCGCTGATGTGCATTCAGTATTTTTGATTATTTCTACTGTTGCAATAATTTTGATTTCAAATCCTGTCTTCCAGCCTACTTGTATCTACTTCCAGCATCAGGTGGTTGTGTAATCAGCAGACATTCTATGCCTTTTTTTAACCATTCGTAGCATTATAAAATAGTTATAAAACACTAACAAATAATTATACAATTCACACTTGTGTTACACTGACATATATTGAAGTCTAGGCTACTCCATTTAGCAGAAAACTGCTAGTTATTTTGTACTAGTAGAAATTACTGTAGAAATTACAGAGAATTAGGCCCAAACTGCTTAATTTAACACTGTTTGCTCACTTTAATTGGTCTTCACATCACAAACCTCAAACTACATTATGCCCAATTAGATGCTCAGTAAATTAATAAATTAAAAGCACTAGATGGAAATAAAAGTTTATCTTTTAACTCAAAACAAACAGAAAACCAGAAAATATAAAAATAGATTATAATAGAAAAAAGATGTTAACATGGACTAACATCACACTCTTCCTACTTCATGTCTCTTTCCACGTGCTTTTAGTCAAGTACCTAAATATACCTCTTTAAAAATATCTTTAAAAGTTGGTAACCTGAATTTTGGAGCCTATTTTGAATAAGTGATATTATACCCACACCCAGTGACTGTGGCTGTGCAACTCTCCTACCTCTGCCTCAACAGCTGTGTGCCTGCAAGGAGGCAGAACAGACTAAATGAGCGTGTTGCAAAAACAAGCATGAATTTGTACAAACTCACTGTAATACCTCCAGTTTTGCTAAAAAATCTCCTAGAAGGAACTAAGTAGCAGCAGAGTTTTTATTAGGCCAGCACCGCTTGTCCTTAGCAAGCCAACACACAGCCAAGCCAGAACCTTCATAAACACCCTGCCATGCACTCTGGATAATTTGACAGGCATGTGCTGCGATTTCACACCCCATCTAGATCAAGTTGCATTGTCATTTGATCCAGAGTTGGGCATGTCCTTTGGGATGGACATCAAGCCTTGATGTTGCATGTGCTCACAGCACACGAGCTGCTGTCTCTGCACCAACTGGAGCTGACTATTGACAGAGATTTTGAATTCCTATTTAATTCCTTTTGCTTTTGTACAGCATCATATTTTGTTCTACTCTGTAAGCAAGAATAAGTAACTTGCACACAAAAGTTTAAAAAATTATAAAAATATTTCTGATTCCCCTACATCAAATAAAGTAACTTCTTAAATGTCCTGAATTAAACATTGTTCTAGCTTCTTTGAGCAGTATCCAACATTATCAGATAAACAGCAGAATTGGAGCAGAGCTAGACAAGCTTCTTGAACTGAATTTGGTTTTCTGGAAAATGTGGATGGGCCAAGAGAGAGTTTTAAGACCTTGCACTGGATTTGTTAAATTGCAGGGAATGAAAATGATTCTCACTTTTAAGAATTCCTCAGATGAACATGTTTTATTCTAGAAATGTCACGAACTACCAAAAATATAGACTATATTCTTAATTCAAGACATTCTCTTTCCAGCTCTTTAGACTTGACGTTAGGAAGGATTTCTTTATCAAGAGAGTGATCAAACTCTGAAAAAGGCTGCCTGGAGAGGTGGTTGATGCCCTGAGCCTGTCAGTGTTTAAGAGGCATTTGGACGATGCCCTACAACACACTTTAACTTTTAGTCAGCCCTGTGGTCAGGCAGTTGGACCAGGTAAATAGTCTGGTCTAGTCTAGTCTGGTTTATTCTATTCTACAAATTCAGTGTCTTAATTTCTATAGCAAAAGGTAAGAGCTGTTTTACCTTTTTTCCCTCCAAGTCTCTTTTTCTTTGGAGATCAGGCATTACTGGCATCCCATCACATTCAGAGTATGTGTTAAAATACAGCTGGCTTTTTAATAGAAATGTCTTGTATGCCTTGAAATACAGCATGTGAAGAGAGGATGGAGTGCAGCTCTATGTTGAATTGCATCTAGCCATGTATTTACTCATTTTAACACTGCCCCCAAACAGCCCCTTTCTCACTTTAACACTGCCCCCTTAGAGAGGCAGCAGCAAAGCTCTACTAATTATACAAACCTCAGTGATAATGTTTGTTCTGCCACTGAGCTGAATTTGGTGCACTCAAGGGCAGCACAGATCTGAGCACCCAGCCTCTGCTGGCTTTACTATTACAAACCAAAGCGTTAAAGAAGTGTGAATTCTTTATGCTTTGAATAACAAAGAACCACATTTCTATACATCTCAGTGTTTTCCAACTTACAGACTTAACTCCATAAGCACTGAGAACAAAATATTATGTCTCACTTTCCTGCTTTAACCCATGTTTTTCAAACAAGATATTAAAATAATACTGCCAGTTTTGTCTTACAGTCAGAAATTGTGTCCTATCATGCTTGCAAAACAATCACATCCCTTTTTATGTCTTAATATGGCACTTGTGCGTGTTTTATTTGATTATAGTACTCTTACTTTGTCTCAGAGCTGTTTTGTGACTAGATGACTCTGTACAGAACATTACAGTATATGGCAGCTTTGTACACTGAAAACCTCATATGTCTGAAGTCTTTGTATTCCAGAAAAATCATCCTTATATATTACCTGATATATAAATATATATTTAATGTTTTCCTGGATACCTCTCATAGCTAATTAGATGGAGTATTTCCCCCTACATTTTTATTTATCTTCTTTTCCTGATCTCCCATTTACTTATATGTTTTCCAGAGCATTTACAGTGTTACCAGTTAACTATGGCTTCTACAAACACTCAGTTTTTCCTCATCTGCAGCTTAATGCTTTCTTGTTTAAGTTTATAGCACAGTAAGTTAAACAGCTCCCAGATCTGCTGCCTATTTTTATGTTCATGGCATTCTATCCACTGTGATTTCTGTGTGGTTATGGAATAAACCAGATCAGGAAAAAGATCTGGCTGATCTTTTAACCCAGCCGGGATTATTTTGCAGCAAATGTGCAACCACAGCTTCAGAAGCACCAGAAGTACAGAGAGAAGGCAGGAAAGAAATT